TTTTAGTATAGTCCACTCCTTTACCGATCTCTTGTATATGTCAAGATTAATTTGGTGTATGATGAGAGAAGCCACTTTTTTATTTTGATCCCGGTAAAAATTAACATTTTCATACGAAAATACTACCTACTTTTGTTTTCAGATGGAAAAACGACGACACCGGTCTTCAGAAAGGTCTCGCTGCCGTTCGACCGATCGAAGAATTTCGAAAAATAAAATTAAGATCGGAAATGAGAATGACCAGAAAAGATGCCGTGGCGGCCATCATGAAAATACGAGAACCAGACGTGAAAGTCGTTCTCGGGACAGGACCCGGAACAAACAAGAGGTACTTGCGAGAAGTCGATCTCGTGATTATCGGGACAATCCCCGAAAATACGACTCATTGCGGGATAATACCCCATTGAGCAAAAATGAGAGAACAAGAAATCGTTCTCCTTATAATAACCGGGACAACACCCGTAAAAGAACACATAAATCATTGCAGGACAGTACCCCTTTGAAAAAAAGAAGGAAAGCCCGTAGACATTCATATAGTTCTCAGGAGAGCTCTAGTGATTCCAAGGTTTCTTTATACAGTGATGAAGAGTCTTTTTCTGTTCCCAAAGTTGCAGATGAAAAATCAAACAGGAGCTCCCATAGTTCATCTGAGCCAGATTCTCCAAGGACTTTTCATTCTACAAATAATGATATACAACAGGAGGACATAACATCTGATACTCTTGTTATCGATAATGACATAAACTTGGATGATGATGCTATGGCTGCTTTGGGAGATGATCAAAGTTTGAAGAAGCCTTCATTCGAGCTTCAAACCTTATTGAAGAATAAATGGACAAAGATTTTTAGAGACGGACTAAGCAAAAATGAAAGGGAGGAGATGGTCCAGAAATATCCCCTTCCTTCTAATATTCCGCATTTAAGTGCGCCTACATTGAACACTGAAATTTCACTCAATCTATCACCCTTTCAGTTGAATCGAGAAAAATACCAGTCTGCTCGACAGAAACAATTAGGGACAAGGATTGGTGTGATTGGAAAGGCAATAATGTCCTTATTGAATCCAGAAAATATATAGTTATTTATTATACAAGGAAAAAAGTAGTAGATTTTAGCTTCAGGTTTGTTGCCACACAAAAAACCGTGAGCTAAAATTTAATATTTTTCCCGTGTATAATACACTATTTTTTTGTGTGACAGAAGAAAGTGGGAATCAATATTGAGGAGATATTACAGTAGGGACACCTGCGTTGTAGGCATCTTCATCATTCTTTTGGAGTGATCCAAAAAATTTGCAATTTTAGTGGGTGTTTAGTAATATACGTAACCGCGAAGTTGAATGGAAGATAAAAGGACTTGCAGTTCTCTCTCAGAGACGGTATTATTGACTCATTTTTCGGAACTATAGCACAACTGTTTCATGATTCGAGATATGAATAAATTAGTGGACTGTATGGTTTGAAAATTCATCGAAATCACAGAGCGGTCTGTAAAGGCCACTTACCCATGCTGTCTTCTTGCCACGCCAAATTCGTATAATCTGCAGTCTTGGAGATGGTACCATCGACGACCCACATCTGATATCCAGAACAGGACACTAACTATGATTGCACTATATTGTTTTTCGTCTGATTATTCATTATAGGAAGGAATTTGACTTCTGTTGGAGATTCACGGGTGTAATTAAAACACGTGTATAGCTCTCAGAGAGTCATTAGAGAGAGAGTCATCGTTTTCGTGGTACTACGTCCTCTTGATTCTCTCCTTTGGAGAGGGGAAAGGATCCATGTGACCCTACGTATAGTGGCCAATAGATACTCTGTGATTGAATACGCGCGAAAAATTAGGATAAATATATGAGACTACCAACTAAGTCTTTTGGCAATAGTATCAACTTAAATATCTATGCCTCAAATACTGGCTTGATGAAACATACGCCTATCAAAAATTGTAAAAAAATTTAAAAAATAAACTTGAGAAACTAAAAAAAAATACAAAAAATAAATCAATTTCTTTGCCTTGAGCAAAACATTACGACATAAACATTAATTATAGTCGGTAAGTGGGAGGTACCCTTTGTTGTTTTTACTGAAACAACTCTAGTGATACCATCAGCTCCAGTATGTTACTCTGTTACTCTTCCCATATTCCACTTTAAAGGTGGTGATAGATCGTCCTTCAAGAGAACCAATGTACCTAATTCGATGGGGACTGCGGAATTACTCCATTTTGAACGCTGCAAGAGCGTATGGAGGTATTCGCGATGCCATCTTGCCCAAAAATTCTGTTGGATTCGCTGGACAAGCTGCCATCTAGAGAGCCTACCAATGTTTAAATCTGTCAGATTATGCTCGGGCAAGGAGTTGAGAGGTGCCAATGTTAGGAAGTGGCCAGGTGTGAGCACATTAAGATCATTAGGATCAGAGCTCATAGGGCTTAAGGGACGAAAATTAAGAATAGATTCAATCTGGATCATCACAGTGTTAAGTTCCTCATAGGAAAGGATCTGATCCCCAACAACACGAATCAAATGTTTCTTAACCGCCTTTATACCAGCTTCCCAGAGTCCTCCAAAGTATGGGGAAATTGGAGGGATAGTGTGAAACTCAATACACTCAGCTTCAGCAGCTACGCGCATGAGGTCAGAAAGTTTATTAGCAGCTCCAACAAATACGGTCCCTTGGTCACTATAAATATGATTACATTGGCCCCGTCGTGTGATGGAACGTCGGAGAGCGGCAAGAAAAGTATCGGACGTCATGTCGGTAGTGACTTCCAAATGAATGGCCTTAGTCACCATACAGATAAAGAGACATAGGTATGACTTTAAAACCTTAGCACCCCTCATACGACCCATTGTTACAGGAAATGGGCCCCCATAATCGATTCCAACTCTGGAAAAGGGTTTAACCTGAGATAATCGGACAGATGGGAGGTTTCCCATTAAGGGTTGACGAGAAATGGGATTGACACAAAAACATCGTATGCATTGAGAAAGAATTTTGCGAATCATTCGTTTTGGGGATAAGATCCAGTATCTTTGGACTAACAGGTTTTGAAGGGTTTGCAAACCTGGGTGCAGATATTTATTATAGGTATAGTTTATGACCAAATGAGTGAATCTATGATTGCTTGGGAGGAGAACAGGATGTTTGTGTTGAAAAGTCATATGAGGAGCGTGGACTAAACGACCGCCCACCCTTAGGAGACCCTGGTCATCAAGGAAGGGGTTTAATTTACGCAAATATTTAGGTAGAGGTCGTTTTCGATTCAATAAATCGATTTCCTTAGAAAAAGCCATATTTTGGGAATATTGAATGAGAATAAGACAAGCCCGTTCTAATTCTACTGAAGAGATAGGTCCATATGTCCGAGCCACTTGGTTGAGACAATTATGTGAGAAGCGAAGAATTGTAGACAATAATTCTTTGGATTTTTCTGAACGATGAATGATTGTCCAAGAGATTTTGAAGTGGGTGACTTTCTATAGAAACATTCAGTACTACTTTACGTTGTTCTTCATCAGTGGTGAAAGAATAATAATAAGACTCATCAAAAAAATGGGGTGGCCAATAGGATGTGGGGAGTTTCAACCAGGAAGGCTCTGCCCACCATATGGATTTTGAGAGAAGTGCCGAAGGAGTTAAACCTCTGGATGCGGGATAGGCGGGGTTATCTCCTGTAGAAACATGATGCCATAACGAAGGAGGAACCTTTTCCTGAATATCAGTGACCCGGTTGGCGACAAAACAAGTTCTATTATGAGGACTACTTCTGAGCCATGCGAGTACTGTTGTGGAGCCTGAGTAGGCGAAGATTTTTTCCAGTTGGAATTTTCCGGCATACGTGGACTGAACGAAAGTGAGTAAATCAGCGAGAAGCTGAGCGGCACACAGCTCTAAACGTGGAATAGATATTCTTTTTAACGGAGATACTCTGGACTTGGCACAAACAAAGAAAGTGAGTTGAAATAGCTTCATTATCAGATATAACTCTGAGATATGAGACAGCAACATAGCCCACCTCACTGGCGTCGCAAAATCCATGGAGTTGAATAGACATTACTGGCTGCGAAAATAAAGGACGGGGAACGCGAACTGAAGATAAAGTAATCATGTCCGATTTGAGTTCAGACCATAGTTGAGCAATATATGGTGGTGGAGAGGAATCCCAGTCGAGACCAAGAGTCAATAAAGATTGGAGGAGATGTTTTATAAGCAGAACCACAGGAGTGAGAAACCCCAAAGGGTCAAATATGCGAGCTAACTCAGACAGAATATTACGTTTTGTACACAATTCATGTAAAGGAGTAACTTGATAAGAGAATGAGTCAGTGGAAGGGTTCCACTGGAGACCTAAAATTTTAATCACTTGATTGGGTTCAAGGTCAAGTTTTAAAGACTATAATGTCAAGTAATGAAAATACACGATCGTGTAATGTCCGATTACCTGAAATGGAGCTTCCGACATTCGATGGGGATATTAGAGAATGGCAAACTTATAATGATACGTTTGATTCTTTGATACATAACAATACTCAACTGTCCAATATCGATGAGTATAACTATTTGATTTCATCTTTAAAAGGCAATGCCCTTTCTATTGTCAAATGTACACCATTGACCTCTCAAAATTATATCGTGGCATATAACGCCCTCAAAAAGAGATATAGGTCGGTCTTGAAATAATCGCTCTCACTCTCAAATTTGGGTAATATTTGACGTCCAAAAATACGATTTCTAATGAAACCATCTCGTGCACCAGAACCACAAACGGCTGAAGACGCTTCTGTAACAAGTTTTATGCAACGTTCGACAGCTTTGGTGTGGCATGGTAATCTGAAAATATCAATTTCCTCAGGGATTTCAGCAATCATTTTCTTCAGATCTTCTGCAGAGAATTTTCGTGTTATTGGAGGCTCTGTCATAGCTACTGCTTGCCAATGTATTAGGTCGGTGTAATCTATAGCTTCAAAATTAATTTTGGGTACTTTGAATTTTCTAAGCTTGAGGGGGGCTTGTTCTACATTTCAAAATCCGTCGCAAGCCTAGTTCCCTAATATGCAAACGTTCATCTCCAAGCATACATAAAAGGATGTTTTCAGGGTGTGCCAAATAGCCGTTGACCTGAATAATTCTGTCAACGATCTGTCTTGAATTTGAAGGAAGGTATCGAGATCTCTGAATTAGGTTGAATAAATGCAGCGAACCGTACTTCATATCTGGCTTTAGCTTAATAGAAAACCAGGTTATTATATACACTTTCAATATATATTTGTTCAGAATTTTTAGTTCTTCAGATGGATTTATTGTTCCAACGTATAAACGTAGAATCCTGTTGGCAGTTGTCAGCCATCTCGAATGTGCCATTTTTCCAGGTTGCTTTCGTGTCAAGCTTTCTGAAACAATACCAACAGATATTGCAACACTTATCTCGAAAAGATATTTCTGGTCGGTGCTGAGAATCTCAGGATCTACTTCTGGAATTACTACGTTGATCTTCTCAAATGGAACAATTGGTAGTTCTTCGCAAGTTTGCAACTGCTTGCCAATCACTCCAACATATCCAGTTGGCCCAGTTGTTTCTCCATCCAAGTTAATCAGGTGACAAAGTGGAAATTCATTACCGTGCAGCATGCAAATTATCCACTGTAAGGATTTTCCGGTATCCACTTCTAGATTACGAATAATGCCGTTGTGAATACCCATTTTTCTTCGTAGGAATTGAAGCATATTTGTTGTGATGTTCTTAGCTGTACTTGTCGAAACTCCAAAATGGTCGAAATATTTAGAAGCCGGTTCTGAAATTAGTGCAATATGCTCTTCGACGATTGTTTTCCGATGGAATCTGTTTTCTTCCCTTGTTAGAACTAGAGTTTCATCTTTTCTGCCATCGAAATATATAGCATGATGTACTTCGATGGCACATTTTTATATAGAAAATTCAACAGGAAATATGATTTTTATGGCGAGTTTTTCATATTTAGTGAACAAGCATTCCAGATGACGACCATTTAATCAATAGTCAATCAAAATACGAGATGTCAAATGTCAATAGATTGCTTTCGAATGACATTACACACGCCATTATTTTGAATGATATTCTTCCTTCTTTTCACTAAATATGGATTAATCTCAAGAAAATCATATTTATAGTTGAATTATATATAAATTGTCCAATATGATGAAAAAAGAAGGGAAATTTGTTCTAAATGCCATCCAGAAGACAGGTGAAAAAGAAGGTGAAATTTGGAACTTTTTAGTCAAATATCTTCATGATAAATATCATGATAAATGCAGTTTTACCTTTTCAAGTAGAGTGTTTGTAGTTCATGTTAATATGATAGTTGCAATTCGATCATTGGAATGAATTCTGCATTCATTGCCACGAGGCAAATGACCGTTTCCAGAAAGAAATTTGAGAATGAGAATTAAAAATGCCCGTTTATTATGAACATTCAAGAAAATTTCCTCGAATTCAGAGATGATTTTGTTGACTATAATATACGAATACAAAACTAACTGCACAATCAAAGCTTTTCTATTTCTCCTCTACTTATACTTTTTATGAGAGAGTAATTGTCTTCTATTATTGATTCATCATTATAAATTAAGCTCTGTTTACTACTGAACTTAGATGGAGTAAAATCCTCGCGGTGAATTGCATATACCCACATTTTCGATAGCTCCTCGACCAACGGGAAACTAATAGCATGAACTTTTGAACCACCCACATAATTCCCCCGACAAAGGGGAACACAACATTTGAAAGGCATTGTTATTTCGCCGATCACAACACAAATATTTCACAAAACAGTAATTTTTCCGCCAATTATTTTGATGAATAAACAACAAAAGAATTCGGGACAGTTTCAAAAACATACGTGAATCACCGATGACTCAACACGAACTGACGCGTTAGTCGACAAGCGATAAAATAAAACACTGGCCTCTCTTGGTGACGTCACGAGCTGTTCACGTCAGAGTCTGCTGGCCTTGTTGTATCGGTGGTAACGGTTCCTCCCGGGTATTTACTGAAGTTCCATTAACTAGCGCTTCCATATGACCCCACACAAAATGATCCAGGGGGGTTAGGTCAGGGCTTCGCGCTGGCCAACCTATTCGTCCTGACCTTCTATTTCAACGGTTAAAAAAACGTTCATCCAAGAACTCCCGAACGATCAGCCGATAATGGGCTGCACAACCGTCTTTTTGGAATTTCATCGTTCCTGTGATGGCGAGAGAAACATCCTCAAAAAGCTCCTGTAGATTATGCCATAGAAAATATTCAATCATTTCCCTGTTCAAATAATCTAGGAAAAATTTGGTCCTATTAAATAACTGTCAATGAGTTCTATCAACTCATTAACGAGAAACTTCTTCCTTGTTGGGCGAGGGTTTTCTTCGGCCCAATGATGGAGGTTATGAACATTTGTTATGTTATTTGGATGCCTCGAGCAGATGAACGAAAATAAAAACTGCAGAAAATAAATACTGATAGGCATTTTTCAAGTATGTTTTATACTATTCCTTTGAAATAACATATACGTATCAAGCATAGTTTCATTTGTATAGCTATTGCCTTAAGGAAGTTGTAAACAATTTTTGACCAATGTGGCTTATAGTTTTTTCTAATAATATCCGCTAGAATGTGGTTAAAATCCACAATTCACGAACAAAAATACGACTTTGTATCTACAATTTATCTATGATCTAAATTATTCCTGTAATTTTATCATTCCAAATCATAAGTCCATA